ATTTCATCTTTTTTTTTTTTTTTTTTTTTTTTTTAGTCTGGAGTCTCACTCTGTCGCCCAGACTGGAGTGCAGCGGCCGCTCCCGGCCACCGCAGCCTCGCCTGCTGGGCTCTGGCGATCCTTCCGCCTCAGCCTTCCGAGTAGCCGGAATTACAGGCATGTGCTACCACGCCCGGCTGATTTTTTGATTTTTATTGTAGAGATGAGGTCTCGCTGCCCGGGCGGGTCTCGAACCGGCGGTCTCAGGCAATCCTCTCACCTGAGCCTCCCAAAGGTGCGGGATTACAGGCTGAGCCACCGAGCCCGGTGACATTTCATCTTTAGTAGCTCTTCTGCTAGGACAACACTAGTGTAATATCTGCTAGTAAACGTGCGGTATTCTGCTGGATTGGGAACTTTTTCCAACAACTTTTTATATAAATGTAATGGAATTGTAGTGCTTACTGGAAGATTAGGTCAGATAATGTTTTTGGATGTTATGCTGCCATCGCAGGGAAGCATTGAAAAAAGATACCTGTTTTTGAGTCAGCTAGTGCCTAAACACATATACCCCATTTGGTAGGCTTATTTGGATTGTATGTTATAAATGATATTTGCTCTTTAATTTCCAACTTAGTGTAGAAAGATATATTTGATCTGTGCCGCTTGATACTTCCATATGATCTGCCTTCAACTTGGAAAGTCTCTTTCTTATAGGCTACAGTAACTTGCTTTTCTGTCTTTTCAAGTTATGTTGTATGATGCAATATGATACAAAAGGTATACCCACAGCTGCCTTTTTTATACAGACACTCTTTTTCGCTACCTTCTGTTACACAGAAGTGTTGACACCGCTGTGAAAGCACTCCACACATTTTCCTTCTACGTAACATTAGCTTTTTTAATGTATATCTCAGTATATATGAGATCCAACAGTTAAGTTTGCGAACTCATCCTATAAAAAGTGCTACATGCCTCACTACTGAATATTATTGTCACCTCTGAAGTACTCCCCTTGGGAAGCTATGCACAGACACCAGCGCCCAGTCCATCCATCAAAGCAATTTTGGAATGCTTTTTCTGGAATGGCCATCTGAGTCATTGTTGTATTACCCTTGATGTCGTGAATGTCACCAAATGTCTTCCTTTCAGTATTTTCTTTATCTTCAGGTAAAGAAAAAAGTCACTGGGGGCCAGATCAGGTGAGTAGAGAGGGTGTTCCAATATAACTATTTACACGGTGCTGCCAGCATAAGCACACAGTGGCAAGTTCACAAACTTAGTTGTCAGACCTCAACGACTCTCAGACCTCAACCAACAGCTCTGATGGCCATTCCAGAAAAAGAGTTCCAAAATTACTTTGATGGGCAGACTAGGCGCTGGTACATAGCTTCCTGGGGGGGGGGGGTGCTTTGAAGGTGACTGTAGTGATACTCAGCAGTGAGGTATTTAATACTTTTTCTAGGATGGTTTGCAAAGCTGATTGTTGGACCTTGTATTCCATCTCTTTATCTGCTTTTTGGTGCAATTTGAATAGAAACCTTCAAGGAAACATGTTTTTGAAAAATCCGTGCTATCATAACTTTGTCCTGTGTATTCACAAGCAATCTCTTTATGTCCCCTTAGAGGGGACATCCAAGTAGTTTGCTAGATTTATCATGTCCCCTCAAAGGGGACATCTGAGTGCAAAGGGTTAATTTATCCCAAGTACTATACCTAGTCTATTTTTCTGTATCTTGATTCCTCCCCCTTTTTGATTTTGAATTGCAGCACTTATACTATGTTTAATTTTATAAATTGCCAAAAATGCTTATGGAAATAGACTTAGTTTTTTATTTTATTTTATTTTTTGAGTTGTAGTCTCATTCTGTCACCCAGGCTGGAGCGCAGTGGCATGCTCACAGCCACTGCAGCCTCAACCTGCTTCACCCTTCCAAGCAGCTGGAACTACAGGCATGCACCACCACCCCTGGCTAATTTTTTGATTTATTGTAGAGGTGAGGTCTCGTCAAGTTGCCCAGGCTGGTATTGAACCCCTGGACTCAGGCAGTCCTCTCGCCTCTGCCTCCCAAAGTGCTCAGAGGGATTACAGGCATGAGCCACTGCACCTGATGGAAACAGATTTAGTTGAATTAGAAAGTATCCTCTTGTTAAAAGGGTGTTCTGATTCTCTGTACCATAGTTAAGAAAAGACTTATATGTTCTTTCATGGTTCTTTCATATTTATTTGCACACCTTTTCCTCAGAGGGAAGAATAAAAGAAGAAATGAGAGTTACAGGAAAATAATAAAAATAGAAAAAATAATGTGAAGCCAGGCATGAGGTTAGTATGGAAAGTATATGCCACAGCATCACAAGTCTGACTGAATTCTCATTAGCAGACACGAAGAGGAGAGCAATTCGTTTAAGGCTATAAGGGAAAAACTAACTTGTTCTTCAGAGGAGAAGCTTCACAACAACCTGCATCAAAATTGCCTTTGATGGGCAGACTAGGCGCTGGTACATAGCTAATCCTGGTGCTAGGTTTCGAGTGGGTTTCTGCCATGGACCCCTTTTGATAAGAATACTGTGATAGAAGCAGGCACCTGGGGCAAGACAGTATCATAACTTATAAGACAAACTGTGTTTGTGGCTTTGTGCAGCATTACAAGAGTATAATGTTAGTTTGTGATTCATTCCCTTTTTTAGCCTCATAGATCCCGTCACATTTGTATGTGGCTTTATCATGAATTTACTAAGCATGCAGATCTTGAAGTAGCTCCAAGGGATTCTGAGACATCAGGTCTGAGAGAGGTTTTAGACATCTCTGTGTGTGATCACACCCTAGGCAATTTTGATGCAGGTTGTTGTGAAGCCATGTATCGAAACACTGTTTCAGGCTTATCATTCAGGGAGTTTGCAGATTCTGTACAGTCAGTGCATGAAACTCAGGTTAAGAACCTGGGATGCAGGTGAGCAATATCCTCAACAACATCTGCATGGTAAAACAGTCATGAGTTCCAGTGGGTGTTTGATGCTGGTATATTAGGGCATTAATTACTTTGGTTAAATTTGTTGGCCCAGACAAGTCACGTGGTCATGCTTCACTTGAAAAGGAGTGATGGTAATGACCAACATATATGGGGTATCCCTCACTCTTTCTTTCTTTCTGGTAATGTAATTAATTGATTTTTTTTTCCTAATGTTGAACCGCCTTCTCTTTTCTGGGATAGACTGTGTATGCTTATGAGGTATCATTGTTTTGGTATGCTACTTGTTTGATTTGCTAATATTTATTTAGATTTTTGCATCTATGCTGTCTTGGTAAGATTGCCCTGGAGTTTCCATTTCTTGTGCTGTCCTCAACTGTTTAGTGTCAGGGTTTTATCAGCATGAAAAAATGAGATGGGTATCTTACCATGCCCCCCCACCTCAGTTTTCAGAGTTTATATGGATTTCCAATATACTTTTTGTGAGGAGTTTAGGATAACTAAAACATTAGAGGGCACAGTCTCCACATAAGACCACTCTTACTTTTACACCACCTATAAGTTTGGGGATTTCCCAGAGAACCACTGTCAGGTTTGATAATTCATGAGCAGGGCTGAGAGGGTTTAGGGAATGCTGTTGTTCTTTGTCCTTACTTTGCTCCACCGTGAGTCTAATCAGCATGCTCCTACTGTATGAGCTTTGCATCAGCTGTGTCCTCTGCCTAGAATCCTCTCCCCCAGGGATTTCCCTGTTGCCAACTCCCCATAGGCTTCCCGTGGTCCATTTGTGTGTCTGGGAAGAGTGCTGTGAGGAGCGCGGGGTGGGGGGATGATTTGTTATAGGGAAAGGGTTCAGATGAAGATCAGCCAAAGGAAAGGACTCCTGGGGCAGAGGCCAGGAGGGTCCCCGAGGCAGAGCTTCTCCGGGCTTCTCCCCGGGTACCAGTGGGTGGCGGTATGCACGAGGGCTGTCAAACAGAAGCTTGTCTAGCCTTCACTGTGGAGTTTTGTGGAGCTTGTTCACATAGGCATGACTGATGAATTGTTCGTGTGGATAATTTCAGTCTCCAGGCTGACTGTCCCTGCATGACCCAAATCCCTCACCCCACATCACATTGTTGGTTTTCTGATTGGCCAGCTCCCACTTAAGACCATACAGGTGTGGACAGCCCCCTCCCTGAATCACACTATCAGCCTACCCCGTTTGACCCAAGGTCCCCAGGCAAAGTTACACTTACAAGACTTAACATTCCAAGTACCCAGAGATTACCTGCCAGAAGCCAAAAGGAAAGGCAGGCTTTCTCTTTGGGTAGGACCAAGTTGTTTACTACACACTTTTGTACAATGTTTCTCTTTTATGGTTGTCATCCTGTGCATCCTCAATAACAGATGAAGCCTATAAGGATTCCATTATGTCATGGAAAACCGGTCTTTTAAAATTTGAGCCCTGCATTTCTTTAACTGTTTCTTGAAAGATAAAAATTATAGGACACTGTTGACTTAACTGTCTTTAAATTAAACTACCTTTTATCTTTTTCCTTAAAAATAAAGGTTCTCTTCAGTTTGAGGACAAATGGGATTTCATGCGCCCGATTGTTTTGAAGCTTTTACGCCAGGAATCTGTTACAAAACAGCAGTGGTTTGATCTGTTTTCGTAAGTAATCCATTAATTCTGTTTGCTAACATAAAGGAAATGTTGGTGATGTCTTTCTGTGCCCAAATGGAATGTGCAACTCTAAATTGGTCTGTTTATGTATTAAAAATCTTTACTAGCGATGTTGGGGTCCCCAAGACCTTCCCCAGGTCCAGTGATTTGCTGGAGGAGTCCCAGGACATATGGTCATACTCACAGCCATGATTCATTACAGTGAAGGGTACAGAGCAAAACTGCAAAGGGAAAAGGCAACTGGGTGAAGACTGGGGAAAAGAAGCACAAGCTTCTGAGAGTTCTCTCCCAGGGGAGTCACACAGGACATGTTTAACAAGATTGATGCCACGTGTGACACATTTTCTGCCAGGAAAGCTTGTGAGAGACTCAGTGCCCAGAGATTTTATGGAGGCGGTCTCTGCCTGGCATGTACTGAGATCAGTTCACACCGTATTGTTTGTATTATAAACTGTGATATAAACAGTTTAGGTACAGTGTGCCACTTTTTTCATTTCAGGACATTTTTATTCAAGGGTAAGAAACTGTTGACCATTCAGGTTCTGAGATGCCAGCCAAGGGCTGATCTTACAAGTAGGCTTTTCCATTAAATGCAGTCTCAGGTCTGCTGTGCTAACTCTTGGCCTTTGGCCAAAATGTCTTTCTAACAAAATTAGGCAGTAGGCTCCCATGCAGTGGGAAAGACCAACCTGTAGTATTGATTTCATTTATGCCTTTTAGGGATCCTGGATCTAGCCAGTTAAAACAAATTTCATTTACCATAAGATTTACCTTAGAAAACCAAGTGGCTTTCTCCTTCAGTTTCTTTATAAACCTTTTTTTTTTTTTTTTTTTTAACATAACCTCAAGTGTCAACTCAAGTATGGCACAACTCAAGCCAGTAAGTTGAAGCAGACCTGAAAGCCTTCCAGGATTGGGGCAGTGTCATGATAGGCACACACTGTGCCTATCAAATTTAATCCCAGGGACCACGTGTGATGTTCTTGGAAATGAAGTGTTAGGGTACACCAAGCAAGATACACGTTAGGTAGTGTGAGCTGACAAGTCCTCTGGTGTGGCCTCCCGCCATGGGTCCTTTTTATCCTCAGGCTCCCTGTCGAGCCCAGGCAGTTCAGTTCAGGCCAGGGTTTCACGTGGAGTACCTGAAGGCAGGTCGTTCCAGTTTTGCTTTGTCCGTCACACCAGTTCGTTTGCTTCACTAGTGTGAGCGACGTCTAAAACATTCTGCGTGGAAACTGGAAAGCTGGGATTGTTCCCTGCTGTCTCCTGGCCAATGCTGTTAGGTGTGACTGTAAACTCAGCAGGCAGTAGGAATTAAAAGCACTCACAGTAGCTTGGAGAGGCATCACTGAGTGATTCTCTTCAGGAATAGTTACGAAAAGCAAAAATTATTAATGTCTTCCTTCTTCCCTATGCCTTCCCACAAAATCAGTGTGTCCCAGTCTGTAATGAAAACTTCATTTTTTAATTTAAAAAATTTTTTTAAATTATTTATTTTTCTGAGTTGGAGTCTCACTCTGTTGCCCACTCTGTCGCTCATGGCCACCACAGCCTCGACCTGCTGGGCTCAGGTGTTCCTGCTACCTCAGCCTTCCAAGTAGCTGGAACTACTGGCACGTGCCTCCATGCCAGGCTAATTTTTTGATTTATTTTAGAGATGAGATCTCATCAAGTTGCCCAGCCTGGCCTTGAACCCATAGGCTCAGGCAATTTTCTCACCTCGACCTCCCAAAGTGCTGGGATTATAGATGTGAGCCACTGTGCCCATCCTGAAAACTTCATTTTTAAATCTGTTATCTAGACTTTCAAGAGGAAAAAAGCATTTTTTACAGAAAAACATTTTTATACATCTTAATTAGAAAGACATACCATGTTTGGGAATTGGTCAGGACAAAATATTGAATTTTTAGAGCTTTTCAAGATGAGTTTTTGTTAACCTCTTATCCCTTTTGTCCTGATCACTTATCTAGTGGAGGTCCTTTCTGGAGACAGCTGCATTTAATAATCAAATTGTCTTACTAAGGTGTGTGTACCAGGAGAGGTGAGAGGAAGGTGAAGGAAACAGAGCCAGATCATTCATCTACTGTTGCAAACTACACCTAATCCAGAAAGCCATGTGCAAGTCAGTGGCAGTGCAAGTCAGCAACAGTACAGTGTCTTGAAAATGGGTCAAAATCTAGTCCATAAAGAGTGGTGAGAGCATGATACTCTTTGTGATGTGCCCTCTCCCGGCTTGCAGCTTTGGGCAGGAACCACAGATTAGGACTACAAAGGGGACCCCAAACAAACTGATTATTTTTTGGAGGGCAGGCACCTTATAGTACAGGCTTCCCCCACTAGGTAAGTGTTCTAGGAGCCCATGGCATCAGTGTACCAGCTGGCATTGTTGTGAGAGACTGCGTTCGGGCTTTAGTTGGGGGGGAGATGCTTTCTACACGTTTGCCCATTTCATGATGAGTGATTTATGAGCACACCTGCCCACACTGCACTGAGTACTAAGCAGTTTTTGATCACAACAGCATGACCCCTGTGCCCTACCCTCCTTATTCACCTGATCTCGCCCCAAGCAACTTTTTGTTCCCTTGTTTCCCTGGATGAAAAACATCCTCAAAGGGAAACATTTTGCCAACCTGGAAGAGGTGAAACAAAAAACGTCAGAAACACTAAAAGGCATCAAAATTGATGAGTTCAAAAACTGTTTTGAGCATGGAAAAAGTGTCTCAATAGGTGTATTGCATGAAATGGAGAGTACTTTGAAGATGGCTGGTTTAAGCATGTAAGAATAAATACTCGGTGTTTCATAAATTCCGGGTTTTCCAGGGTACCCCCTCATATAATTCATGTCTATATCAGATATATAAGGCCAGCCAACAGCTTGATTTTGGAAGGTCCTTTCAGAGAATAAGCCCTTTTCTGTGAACATCTGTAAGTGGTTGAGGTGGTTCAGTTAGAATCCAGAATTTTTTTTTAGTTTATGACTCCACAGGAGAATGTCTTATAAATTTTCAGTAGTCTGAGGGCTGGGCGTGATGGCACATGCCTATAATCCCAACAGTTAGGGAGGCCAATATGAGAGGATTGCTTGAGCCCAGGAGTTTGAGACCAATCTAGGCAACACAACAAGACCTCATCTTTACAAAAAAATTAAAAATTGGTCAGGTGTGGTGGTACACACCTATAGTCCCAGCTGCTCAGGAGACTGAGGTGGAAGGATCGCCTAAGCCGAGAAGATTGAGGCTACAGTGAGCTGTGACGGTCCTACTGCACTCTAACCTGGGCAACATCGTGAGACCCCAACTAGAAAAAAAAGTCTTTGACGTAAAGTCCTGTAAATTGAGTATATGCCTGCTTTTAGTTCAACACAGCCTGTTTTAAAGTTGAAATAGCCCAGTAGCCAACAATATCCAGTTTCAGCCTAGAGTCAGTCAAGGTAGTTAAGATCTGTGATTTCAGGATTCCAAAAAAATTAGTGTCTTTTCTTTGGCAGCAACACTGTCAAGATGCTGGAAACCTCACAGTCATGTTTCAAATTCACGTGATAAGCAAGAGTGACCTAAGTTCTTTTTACCTTGTCAGTCTTAGAATCCAAATTGATCCACTCAAAAATATGCTCATCAGGCTGGAGAACCATCAGCCTCTTTGGGTCAGACATGTGATGTCACAGGAGCTCAGTGGCAATGTAGACCTGCATTTTAAAACTCCAAACGTGTATTTTCATCAGATTTCCTTTGTTTTCTTTTTTCTTTTTTTTTTTTTTTTGAGTTGGAGTCTCACTCTGTCACCCAGACTGGAGTCCAGTGGCCGCTCCCAGCCACCGCAGCCTCGACCTGCTGGGCTCCAGCGATCCTTTCACCTCAGCCTCCCAAGTAGCAGGAACTACAGGCGCGCGCTACCACGCCCATCTAATTTTTGATTTATTGTAGAGATGAGGTCTCGCCAAGTTGCCCAGGCGGGTCTCGAACCCGCGGACTCGGGCAATCCACTCACCTCAGCCTCCCAAAGGCGTGGAATTCTAGGCTGAGCCACTGAGCCCGGCTTCCTTTGTTTTCATGTTGTCTCTTTTTACCCCAGAGGCACCAGCAGGTAAGAACTGTAGCAAATATCATGCATTATACAGACTTATTCTGTTTCTCATACTCGGAGAGTTTAAATTCCAGTCCCTTCACCAGCAGAGAAAAGCAAGGAGGTTGTATCCCACAAACTCTTCCTACCTGGAACGATCCCTGTAGCAAGTAGGAAATAACTACCATATAACGTATTACCTCAGTTTTTGTTGCATACCTAGATGCAATAGCCACAAAATTCAAAGCCGTCTTTTAAACAGCCCCCCCTTTTTCTGAGTTTAAATTTAATCAAACTCTTAGCAGTGAAGTTGTGTTCATAAGATGAACATTAGAGCTGCTGAGCCATCCTGACTGAAGGCACAGGGAGGGAGGGAGGGACCACTGCAGCAGCAGCAGCTAGACTGAAGAGACAGCGGGGGGGTTCACTCCCCTCTGATGCCCCTGCTCCCCTAGGTTGTCTAAAGCTTTGCTTCAGCCACAGGCTCTGATTTGGCTATTGTTTTTTCATACTTAGAAGAGAGTGCAGTATAAACTTGGAACATTTTTGTTACACCCAAAACTCGCCTTTGAGAGCTTATGGGCCTTTTCTCTGCCTAGCCAGAGGCAAGAGCAAAAACCACATGGTTGAGACCAGGCTTTCTCTCCCTTCACTCGAGTCAACATGACCAGAAACAACCAGGGGAATGAGAGAGCCATTTCTCTTGGGTCTAGATGTATCATTTTCAAATTCAGGGGTATTCTACCTCTCACAGCAGATTCAAGCTCAGCTGCTGTTTCATACCGTAAGTGATTTTGTAACCACCCAAACAGCAAATGTTTGTGGTCCTGCTGCTTCATCCTTACTCAGGAATCCCACTTCTGACACCAACTGAGTCAAGAGTCCCAAGATCACCCCTACGTTCAGTCATTGCTTGGAAGACTCAT